CCCGTGCCGTGCCGTGCCGTCGCGGAGCCCGGCCGGGAGGGAAGCGAGGGCGCTCTGCGGGCGAGCCGTCCTCAACGTGCGCTTTCTCCCCCGTGTAGCCTTTGCTGGAGGAGGGTGAGACTTGGAAGGAGTGTCAGCTCGTCCAGCAAGTGAGCGGCGAGGTGAGGAGAAGACCTTCTTTCGCAGTTGTTGGGTGCTTTCTCGGGACCGTTTTTCCTCCTGGTGTCCTGCCTTCCCGTGCAGATCTCTTGCTCGAGTTTTCCACCTGACATCCCCACCCTTCCTCCCTTTTGCCTTAAAAAAAATTGCTTTCATATTAAGAATGTAAGTACTTTTGTGTGAAAGACCAAGGGTTATGACTTTATTAAATAATGACTATCCCGTTGTCTAAAATTGGCATTGGTAGTCCAGAAGAGCAGTCGAATGAGTGGCTGGAAATAAATGTTACTTGAAGCAGAAGGTGTAAGAAATAGAGTGCAGAGATTTTCCCTAGGATTTTTGCATGCCACAGTGACAACCTTACATTTGGCAAACTGGTCTGGCATCAAACATGTTTTCTTTTTGCTTGAAAAGCTTAAGCTAGGAGCTGTAAGTTTGCTGTAGTAAAGAGCAGAAGGGAAAATAACACTGCATAAGATGAAGACCACCACCTCACGCTTTGACCATGCTACAAGTGCCTAACCAGATTACTTAAGACCATGTCATTCTAGACTGGAAAAGTGTTTTCTCTCTTTCCCGTGAAGCAATGGAAAAATGTATCTTGAGTCTGCTTATAGTTTCGTACTAATGCTATGTAGTTACATTCAGGTTGCATCTTCTTCCTTAAAAAGCACTATGGTTTTGAACTCCAGGTAACAAAATGGATTCAGACAAACCAGAGGATCAGAAAAAGCGGCAAAAAGAAAAGAAAGCAGGATGAAGTCGTTTTCGAGAAGGTAGGGGTTCATGATCTGCATTTGTGTCGTGGGACAAAGGGCAGCACATCTGAAATGCTTTCAGAGGATGCCCTTTTAAGCACTAAAGAGACATTCTTAAGCTTCTTTGACAAGGTAGTAGCAAAAAGGTATTAGTTACTGATACAGTTTTGTTGTGTCATTATTCATTTGCTATGGAAATATGTAAATAATTTTTCAAGAGGTCTGTAATTTAGAAAACAAAATTTCCCTGCATTTGTATTTAACATGAACATTCTGAGGAAGAAAGAGAAGACTTTTCATAAGAAAAGGCAATAGTACTTGAGAGATTTTGAGAGAATCTGCACCATTATTTGCACACCTTCAGATACTGTTAATTCAGAAGTAGTTTTCTTGGTGGGTATTGGGCGATAATGGATAACGTATGCAGAAACAAATGTTCTGATTACGCTGTTGGCACTTTTTTGGCGGATGTGTTTGGAAGTCTTTTATTTGCAGTGTAAGGGAATTCATGAAAATGTATCTTGATGGTTATTCTAAAAAATAGCTTGAGAAGATTTAAAAAATTGACTGCAAGCTAAATTAACTCAAAATATTTTTAAACGAATGATTTTTGATTAGCTATTCTGAAACATGCATTCCGTAATGCTGGCTATTTAAATCCCAGTGTAGCAAGGTAAGTAACAGACTGACACTTGCGTTAAATAGCTGTTTTCTGTCTTGTGAAGAAAAAACTGCTGTCTCAAATACCAGTCATTAATGAATAAAGATGCATTTCCGAATGCATTACCAGAACTATGATTTTTGCTTGTCTCAGTTTTACAAACAAGTTTTTAATTTTTTTTAAACTCTTGTTACCTTTAAAGGATTAAAATAGCAGAGTGTTGTTTTGCTGTTTCGACAGTGCTTCTAGAATGTGTGATGAATCATTGCTCTTTCTGTAGCCAAATTCTTGCTGATAGCATGGCTGCCAACTCCTGGGATGTGTTGCCTTAGTATGGGCATTGCAGTATTTGACAAATGTCCACAAAGTGCATTGTTGTGTGTGGGTGATTTACCAGCTCCATGGTGAGTTAAAAAAATGCCAGATTACATCCTCTAATTCACTACTACTTTTATTTTGAAGCTGCGATACACCATTTAGGAAAATATGTTCTGCATTGTCATAGTATAGAGACATGATCTAAGCAGACATAGCAATAAATGATTGCACCAAATAGTTCCTTTTCTGTTTATATTTCTGTATGTGAATATGAAGCATGTATGTTTAGCATTTGTATTTAGGATCACTTTACGTTCAGACAGTGAAGGCTTTTTTAATGTTAAAAAGATGTATCATCATGTGACTTTGCTAACTTGGACAAAATCATGCATCAAAGATATGATTAACCCCAGTGTAAGTTAGTTTGCAGAGTCTGCGGTATTTTTAAATTATTCAGACTAGATTCACTGATATATCTTCAACAGTAGGATTGAAAGCACCTTATAAAGTTGCACCTCTTTCATCTCTTTTTATAGGAAAAAGCTTCCCCACTGCGAACCCCTTTGTACTGATAGAATTCCATTTGCGCTAGGGGGATCATTCCACTCTTACTGTTCCACAGTTTGTGAGAAAGAACTCTAGCTTATAGACTAGTAATGTTAGAAATGCAAAAAATAATGTATAAAAATAAGGTCTACTCACTGTAAAAATAACTGAAAGTGCAGGGTTTTTTCTAGTAGTTATTCTTTGTGAGAACTGTGAGCAGAAATGTAACTTAAAATTAATGTCCTGAAGAATATGCCTTGTCTTCTAAGATCCATAAGTAGTAATGATTCTTGGAGACTCAGTACAGATCCAGAGATCTGCAACAGCAGGGTACTCAACCCAAGGGGAAGGAAAAAGGGAGCTTAGCACTGACCTTCTTTTTCGTCCTGCAACCATTGACTGGGTGCTGAGGATGGGGTTGACTGGGTGCTGAGGATGGGGTTCCCTGGGTTCTTTAGATGGGGTTGACTGGGTGCTGAGGATGGGGTTGACTGGGTGCTGAGGATGGGGTTGACTGGGTGCTGAGGATGGGGTTGACTGGGTGCTGAGGATGGGGTTGACTGGGTGCTGAGGATGGGGTTGACTGGGTAAAAGTTTCCAGCATGGACTGCCTGGTCAGTGTGGACGGTGCAAACCTCTGTTCCACTAGAATTCCAGATTTTTAGCTGTGTCCCTGTTGGTTTATATCAGAAATGGCATTGTACAGCGGTATGAAGTACTTCCTTTGGGAAAAAACAAGCGAAAGAGAAAAGAGAGAAAATGGATAATGAAAAAGGAAGGGGCTTTTGAAGATATTAGAGGTAGGGGATAAAACCATGGAGTGAGAAGAGGGAGATGAGAAGCAGAACAAATGAGTAAACAGAAAAGTCAGAGAGTTAGCACCATTATGGTCATAACACAAGTGTAATTGAAGTAAGGTTACTGATGCATTTTGCCATAGCTTGAAAACTGAACTGTGTGTTGATCTTGCTTATCCTTCCAGAACATGCGCTAACTTATTAAATGTGGCTTCTAAACTTCTTTCTTCTTGTGCTGTCCGATTTTCCTCTATCATTTTTATTTTTTTTAATGATAGGAAATCCCATTTCTAATACAAGATGGATGACTTTGCTATACTGAGACACCGCAAAATCAAAGCGACTGCTTCTGTATCCAAGTACAAAATCTAGGACAGAGAGATAACTCTTTCTGTATGGAATAAGTGGAATAAGGAAAGGTTGCTGACAACTGCCTGGAAATTGCTTCTTGAAAAAAGTTGCCTTCTAAAGAGTTAAGTTTTTAGGAGCTGGCTTTACATATGTGTAAATGTATTTAAAAAAACATTTGAAGATACCATGCATTGGCTAAGAACTCTGTAACTGATAGCATTAAGTGCGATCAAGGGGTACGTGAACCAGTGGGGAAGCTTGCATAGAAAGGTGCTGTGCTGCTCTCCGCTGTGGACCTGAGCACCACGGATTATGACAGTGTAACAAATCAAATAGGTGAGAAAGACTTTCTGGATAAGTAACTAGAAATTGCTTTTCTTTTGCTGTCTTCTATTTTTTTCTCTTTACTTTTTTTTAGTTCTTTTATTTTTTTTTTCCATTTCAAATATTCTTGTTGCTTTTTAAGTATTTTATGTTTTTAGCAATTTTTATTGTAATCTCTCCTTCCCTACTTTTCTCCTGCTCTTTTCTTTTACTCTTCTCCTTTGTCTCCTTCAGTCACCTTTATAGCTGTTCATGCCTTTCTGTTCATTTTCAGTCCCCTTTTCTGCTTTTTTTGCCTTAAGTCCTTCCCTTTTGCTCACCCTACTTTCTGTTTACAGTACTCTAGATATTCTTTTGACCTCCCCCCCGAGTATGTGTGCATGCACGTACACAAGCGTATACATACTCAGACCTTGTACTTGTGCTTTTGTCATTCTCCCCCTTCTTGAACTTTCTTTACCGTTTGTTTAATCTTCGTCTGTCTCTTCGTCTTGTCGGTTAGCTGATCAGCACATCTAGCAATCAGTACTGTGTATCAATACAGTAATATGCAAGGTTATTTATGTGAGAAAAATAGAGAATGTAGAACAGAGCTTGGAATGAGTTGGTTGGTTAAAATTAGTAGTGTTGTTTTAATATGCAGAGTGTGATAAAAGTGCTAAGTATTATTATTTTTGTTGTTGTCATACTGGACTATGCCTGGTTAGATAAAAAGATTCCACTGTCCTTGCCAGTTTGGGGTGTTAGGCAGAAGAAAACAACCTTTTAATCAGACTAGTGGAATTGTAGTATGCGATCTGCCTCTACAGTGGAATTGCAGGGTGAAACATTTCTTTTTATTAGGAGACTAGTTCATTTTTATACATAGCTTGATTACAAATATTGGTATGTATATTGTCTCTCACTGAAGGTCAGTATTAAAAATGTTATATGAAAACCGCTTTGAAAGCGTTCAAGTAGTGCAAAAAGTATCATAGGACAGGATACCAAGGGTGTTCAGTAGTTAGAAGGAGCACTGAAATATATGTGTATATATATATAGTAGATAAGGAAGACTAGTTGTTGCAAATTGTCAAAATTGAGTTTGTCTGCTTTCAGTGTTAGTTTGATTCTACACTGAAACTTTGAGGAGTAATTCAGCTTCTGCAGAACAATTTCTACTGCTTTCTTGGAAGTACTGTCTTCATGTTTTTAAAGTTTATCTGCTGGTTTACTAAAAATGTGATTGCCTTTGATTTCTCCTAGTGGTTGCTGTCATTGATCGTTCCCTCTCTTCTCACTCTAGAGTTAAAATTGTCAGCAGTATTTAAGTTCTGATAGTAACCTGAGCAAAAATGACTTTATTTTGAGATAGTTGTTAAGTTTCTAAGAAAGAAGGGGGAAAAAGCACTTGTAATATGTATGGCTAGTGCTAAATCCTATAGCTCTTTTATACCTAACAATAATTTGACCAGTAAAACTGAAAGATAAGAAATGAATTTTGTAATTCATTAAAATAAATTGTAGTGTTATACGTTCAGTAGGAAAAATTTTGAAGTCTCAGCAAAAAAAAAGTAGGGATAAGAAAATATGGTGTGGTAAAAGAAAGGTTCCATGTAACTAGGGAATTTACTCAGGATGATGTGCTTCTGTTTATTCATAGTAAGCTACTTTAAAACCTTAATTCTTGCATATTGTTTGCTTTTCTAAGTAAATGTTTTTATTTGAATCTACCAAACTGAAAATTAAAGCAAGGACCAAAGCTGAAACATATCTCTTGAAGTTGCACACCGTGTAGTGCTAACAGCTACAAGAAACGTGGTAAGAAGTTCTAAAGAGCTCTTCAGACAATATTCAGTGGAGTCACTCACCTACACCTTACCTTTCCAAATTCTGTTAATCTTGCAGAACTTTCTAGGAACCCTATAAATGTGTTTACTGGCCTTCACTAATAACACATAACATTTAATTCTGTTGGCAACCAGGGCAAGAGAATTCAGATGGAAAATTCTGTAACTACCTCATGTACAAGAGCTGGACTG